ACACACACACACACACACACACACACACACACACACACACACACACACACACACACTGGCTCAAACACCATAAAGAGACAGCCAAATTCCACCTTGACTTTGCACAGAAATATTGTTCAGTTTGCTGCATCATGACCCAGCCTGCCTCAGAAAAGAAAAGAAACAACCAATCTATCCACTCAGGCACTAATCTGACACAGTCCACAATTTACCTCGTGTGTCATACGCTTTCCTGCTAAAGCGAGGGTTGTGGAGTCTGTCTGCACCATGACTAAGCTATTAATAACCCTAGAGGTGAGGTTTGACTTGAAATCATCAACATCAAGTTGGCAGAAAGAACATTACTTCATAGTGAGCTAAATGTTCTTCCTCTGCTTTGGAATGGCCTTAAATTTAATCGCAAATGTGTCCTAATGACAAACAGATGTGACAAACAATGGGTTTTGTTCAGTTTTTGAAGAGACATAAAGATGATAGCAGGGGCTACATGAATAGAAGTAAACACCAAGAGATGATTAAAGTCAGTCTGTATGAAGCACAGACAGAGAAACACAAAGAAAGACAGACGGTGTTTAAGTGTCCTTGACATTTGTCTCTGGGCGTTGTGCCCACTCTTGTCAGTAAGTGATTTAACTGGGCCATGAGTACACCCCCACACTAAAGTAAGCAAAAAAAAAAAGGAAAATCTTTTGACATCTCTCTCTCGGGATCACTCTAATGAACCTGTGAAAGTACAATTTAGCAATACTGAGGTCAGACTGTGATACAGTCGATACATCTGACAGCAGGGTTATCATTTTTCTCAAACATCAGAAACCTTGAATGTATTGCAAATAACAAACGAGAGGTTGTTCTTGTGACTAAAATGACACCAAATCCACATTAATGTAAAAGCCATGGAATGTAAGTTGGACTTTTATGTACATAAAAAAGCTCTTTCCAGAAAGGTTTTCACAAATACTAAAGAAACATATCTGACTGCGATGATTTTCTGAATAGTTGGACTTGAGGATGGCCGTGACTCGTTGTGAAAGCAGAAACATAGACAGACAAGCAGCAGCTGAAATCCCCTGCAGCAATAAATGGTCTATGACAGCTCAGAAAAAAAGGAGAGGGAGGGGGGCGCTCTCACCTGATTCTCCTCATGAGTGACTCTCATCTGCTCTTTAAGGATGGATGTGCGAGCCGCCTCCTCCTTCCTCATGATCCTCTCCTTCTTCAGCTCGGGACTCCAGAAGCTCTTGATGCTGTTGGTGGAYGATCCCAGCTTGCTCTCCTTCAGGTCGAGCTCCCGCCGCAGCAACTCGTTCTCCCTCTGCATTTCCCTGAGCTGGGCCTGCATCTCCAGCAGCTCCCCGCCGCTGCCCCGCACAGCCTGCCTCAGCAGGGCGGAGGGCACCCCCTGGTGGTGATGGTGGTGGTGCAGCATGGAGAGGGAGCCCAGGTCACTGTAAGACAGGAGGTCAGCGTGAGGCAGCCCCACCGAGGCGATGTTGGGACTGCTGCCCATGGCCGTGACGCGGCCCCCGTACATGGCCCGGCTGGTGGCGCGGCCCAGAGTCATAGTGCCTTTTGGGTAGGTGGCAGTGGAGCCCACGGCCTCGTGGTCGCTCAGGTACATGGGCCCTGAAGTGGCGTAGGCAGCGTTGAGGGACTGGATGTTCTCCATGGACAGCGTCTTGCCCCCACCACCGCCTCCGCTCCCACTGTGTGCCCTTCGGTGGCCCAGTCTGGGTGACCTTGGAAGGCGCGGGGATCGAACAGGGCTGCTCTCTACATGACCTACAGCTCTGGCACTGCCGTACATGTCCTGTGATTCAGCGGCGTAGCCACCAGAGGGTCCTTAACAGGGGCGTGTGGAAATGAGACTCTCTGAACCGAACATGGATAACTTATTTCATGTCTGAGTGGATGGAACGTGTCAAGGTCAGATCTGAGGAAACAGAGGAGAAGCATCTGTCAGAAAGGTTTTTTTAAAAGGGATCCATGATCAGTTGTAACATTAGACTTTATTTGATAAACATTTATTTTAACTGTAAAATAAAGACTAAAAATACTGTAGGCTGTTTAGTTTTGTAAATTTTTTAAAATATATTTTAACACGGACAGAGCCATTTTATTTACACGCAAAGCATTCTGGGTAAATGATGACATGGATAGGTCCTCGGTGTGAGCGAGCTATATCCACCCTGAAGGTTAATCTTGGACAATATCTGACGATCGACTCTTTTAAATGAAACCAGAGAGCGTTGACAGAGAGGAGAATGTAGAAATGACAGCCTGCAACTGAAAATATACAGTAGATGGAGGACAACAGAGCTGCTTCATGGAAGAAGAACCTCAGCTTAGCCTGTTAGTCTTCGCACTAGCGCCAACGCTATATTACCTTATATGTATTAGCTCAGCGCCAGCGCGACAAACAAGCTAAACTGAGGTCCTCCATCCATATTTTCAGTTGCAGGCTGAGTCATTTTTGCGTTCCCCTCTCTGTCAACGCTCTTAAAGAGTCAATTGTCAGATATTGTCCAATATTAACCTTCAGGGTGGATATAGCTCGCTCACACCGAGGACCTATCCATGTCATCATTTACCCAGAATGCTTTGCATGTAAATAAAATGGTCCCGTCCGTGTAATGTATTTTTAAACTTTTAGTTTAAAAATTCYATAAACTAAACAGTTTACAGTATTTTACAGTCTTTATTTTACAGTTAAAATATGTTTATCAAATAAAGTCTAATGTTGCAACTAATCATGGATTCCTTTAAAAAATCTGCACAATAACTTAATGCTTACACTTGAAGCACATCGTCCAGTCAGAAACCCAGCTGTGTGCGTTTATGTGGTCCCATTTTTAAAAGCTTACTTGAATTTTCCAGCATCATTCCAGATGCCCAAATTATTAAAAACAGTAAATCACAATAATGATGAAAGAAATACAGATTTACGTCCTCATAGTAAGTCTTATATCACATTTCTCTTCTTGACAATGATAACTGGTTGCTCAGTATCAGAGTAAACAGAGATTTTCATAACAAACTGCATCAGGCATCAAAAAAGAGCTCTTCGTTAATAACAAACCCACAGATATTTAATCAGTTGAGTGACATTTAATTACTGTTTTTTAATCAGAAATTCTGAATACGAAGTGCTGAGTTCATGGAGTTTGGGTAAAAGTGATTATTAGCTCTTTAACTCRAAATAGCTAAATTGTGGTTTATTAATTATAAATTATTTATCATATGCATTCAAAGACAAGAGTCACATTTGATTACACAGATCTCACAGACAGTGAGATCTGAAGATTCTACAAGAAGGGAGCTAACTAAGTCATAAATTATTAGTTTATATTTAACATTTTCTCAATAAAAAGTTTTCTTAAATAATATTTTAGACACTATATTTTCTTTTCTTGTGGATTTTGTTAATGTACATATCCAACAGCTCAGAGCAGTTTAGTGTTCAATATGAAAGTGACAGAAAAAGAAGCCCCAGTAACTTGATGCCATTTTGCAGGAAATGGGAAAGTTTTAATTTGAACACAAGTTTCAATCAGAAACTTTAAATGCATGCTGTTAATTTTTCTTAAGGAAAAATCTGTATTTAGTAAAACTGCAATCAGCCGTTCTATATTTATAAAAACCTGAAATCGGACTCCAACTCGAAAACTCCAATCAATGCTTCTCGTATGTATAGTAGTGTATATAATCAATACAGACTGAGCAGTGTAAATAAAAAAATCAATGAGAACAGACACCTTACATAAAATGACCTAAAGCACAAGGGGGTAAATGTGAACTTTTTGGGTGTTGATTTTTTTTCATATACTTAGAGAAATTGCTACTGATGGTGTGAAGTTGACAGTGCAACTGTAAAAAATCTGAACTCAGCAGATCCTGTTGAGTTCTTAAAAATACACCATTACAATTGTTATTTTTTGTTGTTTGTTTTTTAAGTTAAAAATGATCATCAACAGACATTCTGTATGCCCATTTTTAATGGTAACAAAAATGGCAAAAGGCTTCTCGGGTATTAAAATAGAATCCCTCCTGCAGGGTAACAAGAAAAAGATTACACCGGGGGACTAAATTTTTCATGGCATAATAAAGGCCTGATCTTTCATTCTATTTGTAGCTTCAATACATCTCCAGACCTTTCACAGTCCATCCCTTATCTTTACCCTCGTTTTCTTTCTGGGTCACAAGAAGCTGGTGCCGATCTCCAGCAGTCACTGTGTGAAAGGTGGGGGACACCCTGGACAGGCCCCAAGTCCATAGAGCCACATATAAACAAGCACTCACACTCTCACCCACACCTAAAAGCTGAGTCTCAGCTATGTTTTTTCATGAAACTTGAAGAATCAGTTATTTAGATAACAGTTTCAGAGACATAAAAACCTGGATCTTCTTAATTTCTGCTTTTAAACTTAGATAAGATTGTGTTTTTAGACTTGAGCATCTTAGAAACAAACTGTGCGACCTTTCACTTCCTGTATGGGATTAACTTCACTCCGCTGCTGCCTTTATTCATTTAACTTCCCATGTTTGTACTATTTTAACCATGTATGTTTTTCTTTGTTTTTACACACATAGCAACACCTAGACCAGTCCTTTTTAGTCGGTGTCCACTTCCTGTTCTACGAACAAAAGTCCATTCTGAGCCTGGTTCTGCTGGAGGTTTCTTCCTGTTAAAAGGGAATCAYTTCTTTCCACTGTCGCCTCTGCGCTGCTCAGAGTTGGAGTTTATGATGATGTGAAGATTTGACACAATCTGCTGGCTTCCTTAGAAAAGTAACCTTTACTAATGGTCATTTTATACTGTAGGTGAATGTTTCTTAAAAGTGATCTGAGGTGACTTTTGCTGCATTTTGCGGCTGTATACAAAAAATGAATACACTCTTTAGGGTTTAACACAAAAAGTTCTTTAGGAAAAAATTGTCGAAGGTAAAAACCGGGCTTGTTAAATTTCCAGCCCATCAAAAGATGAATAATGGACTGTAAGTTTGAAAAAGAACAGACTTTTTCTATCTTTCTTTCATCTTGTGACACTTATGACTCAGTTGCCATGGGGACACTGTCTAGACTAGCACAGATAAGTCACCTAGACGTGTGACATCATGATGACATCATGAGCGCACAAGTCTCCAGAATATCTGTGAAGGAAACTGTGGCCAAATACAGCGACAGTGACAAGTGTAATACTTCAGGGCTTGTTTTAAGTTTGTTTGTTTGTTTATTGTTTAAGTTATGTATTCTGAGGTGCAGGAGAGATCATTCATAGCAGAGAGACGTGTCAACAGGTTTGCGTGATGTATGAAATCCAGCAAGGTTTTAGACGACAGCAGCCCTCAGCTGAACACACTGATGTATCATCTGTAAGGAAACACTTCCCCTGTGGGCAAACAGCCTGTGTGTGTGTGTGTGTGTGTGTGTGTGTGTGTGTGTGTGTGTGTGTGTGTGTGTGTG